CCTGTCATTCCAGACACCAGAGATTATCTAGATGGTGACGACGACGACGATGATGAAGATGACTTTACCATCAAGTTCCAGAAGCCATCAACCATCACCAAAGGTGTTGCCCTCGGGGAAGCCCAATCCCAGGGGGAGCAAAGACAAGGTGAATCGACTCCATCAGGGCACCAGGACCCCAAGTCAAAAGGCAAGACAGTTGCTGAAGAAGGTAACTTGAAGGTACTTTTCTTAAACCCTCAACAAACCTTATTTAAAGACTCTACCTCTCAGGTAGTGATTACTTCAGAGTACCAGCTTCACATCCCTTCAACAACCTGCGATCGTTTGGAGTGGGTATCTGATCAACCCAGCTCTTTTATTCCAATAGACCAGTAGATGTCTCAGCTTAAGGAGTCGCTCGACCAGACTAGAGTAAAAATCCCTCTTCGTACCTCTAGTGGTGGTGAGTTTGACTTCCTTTCTGAAGCTGAAAGACTCGAGGCTTTAAGGGCTGAAAAAGAGCTAGAGCTTCAAAAGAAGCAGGCTGAAGACAGCTTAAAGCTGGCCAAGTCTCKAGCTGCTAAAGTCCTTCCCAAGAAGTCCCAGAAAAAGGTGAGTGATGTCCAAGCCCAGGCCAAACTCCTTCAGATTGCAGAAGCTGAACGCAAGAAGAAGCTGAAGCTTGTRGACAAGGATAAGCAATGGAGCGAAGCAAAGTTGAAAAAGAGACTAAGTCCCCGTCCAATCATCAGCGTCAGCATCAGCGGACGATCCAAAGACGGTGGAACACTGGTCTCAATGCTCATCACCAGGGATAATCTTGAAGCCGTTACCGAGTATCCTTCCTACCTAGGCCGCTATGGATACAGCGAATAGATGGAGATCAGACAAGCCATCCAGAAATCCAAGTCTTGACACAAGACACTTATCGAGGACACCATCAACGAGCTCATCAAAAGGATGTCCAGGTATGTCAAGGTCCCTGACCGGCCAACTTTGAAGAAAGGTGGGAAGAAGAAAATAAAGCTCCCTGATCCTAATGAAGGACCATTCCTAAGGAACGAAAATGAAACAAGGTTCTCCTTAGAAGACGTCCTGAAGGGTCGTAGGAGTATTGACATTTCTATGTTGAATCTTGACTTGCCAGATAAGGGTCCCTTTTCACCCAACTCTGTGCATTTTGAACCTGAGTTAGGAGTTATATTCCTTGACTATGAAGGTGAAGTCAGATTTCAGAGAATGTCAGAGCTGCATCTCTGTCCAGTTGATC